TTGATGAAGATGTTAAACAGGATTGCTACCAGTACTGACCCCTGAGGTACACTGCTAGTTACTGGCCTCCAACTAAACTTTGTGCCGCTGCTCACCCCCCTCTGAGCCTGGCCAATTATCATAGACTCATAGAATGGTTTGGGTTGGAAGGGACCTTAAAGATCATCTAGTTCCAACCCCCCTGCCATGGGCAGGGACACCTTCCACTAGACCAGGTTGCTCAAAGCCTCATCCAGCCTGGCCTTGAACACTTCCAGGGATGGGGCATCCACAGCTTCTCTGGGCAACCTGTTCTAGTGCCTCACCACCCTCTCCGTGAAGAATTTCTTCCTGATATCTAATCTGAACCTCCCTGATTTCAATTTATACCCATTACCCCTTGTCCTATCACTACAGGCTCTTGGAAAAAGTCCTCTCCCAGTACCCTTGTAGGCCCCCTTCAGATACTGGAAAGCTGCAATTCAGCCAGTTTTCAATCCACCTCACTTCTTTTACTCAAAAGACTCTGAATTCCTGAAGATTCTGGGAAAGCAGAATGAAAAGTCCCTGTGTGGCACTCAAGCAAGTTACTCGTGGTCAAAAAGCTTTTGCTTCCAAGGAGACAGTAGTTCTTTCTGTGTTCCAAGAGGTGATACTTGCTCCTTAATCTGCCGATGTACAGTAAGGGCCATGAATTACTGCCTCCGCATAAGCAAACTATTATCTACTCATCCTCACAAACCAGTGATTCCCCCCCGGCAGGGATTTTTCTTTACTGAGTAAGTGCAACTAAGTTAGACCCATGTGAGACATTAGCTCCCAATTCATCTACTAAGGATGTGAAATAAGTGACTTTGGTGATATTTTCCCACAAGAAGACCTCTCAGAAACCACTTTGTACTGTAATAAATATGGCATTTTTCTCTGGTAAAACCACCAAGATTTGCAAACTACCTCTAAAACTAGAAGTGGAAAACAACTTTAGCAATAGCAGTTGAAAACGTGCAGCAACTCTTAAAAGCTATCACAGTGCCAAAGATTAAAACCACCTAACTACAGGTGAACTGATGCACTTGAAGTTTGCACTGAAATGGCCACTTTTACCTGAACAGCTGTCCTCATCATCAGAGATGGGCACCTCCCTTTTCAACAGCATTTCCAACTCTTCAGTTTCAGCAACATCGACAGGTCTCTCCCCGTGCTTGTTGGCTTGAAATGGATTTCCACCGTGTCGAAGCAACAGCTTCACAATCTGCAGCATTAAATACATTAAGTTTTCCACATGTTACTTGACTGTAAAAAAATCTTCCATTACACGTGAAATGTGGGTAACGGGATACACAATCCTAAACCCCTACCTATGGAACAGACTGCAAAGCAAGACAGCAACAAGTAGAATGCAAGGTCCAGGTATACATAATCTGCTTATTAAAAGAGGTAACGGGGAAGACTAAAGATCGTTGTCCTCTCTTACACAAACATAGCTTCATCATGAGGAAAAGTGACAGTGGCCTTGTGTTCTAGCATTTCCTCACACAATTCATCTGGTTCCTCACCTTCCAAGCTCTTCGCTCCTCTGCGCTCATCTCCTTGATCCAAATTTCATAGCACCTAACTCTAAGAAGTAGCAAAAGTTTTCCAAGTAGCAGTGCTATGGGTTTCCACAGCGTTTAAGAAAAGCCCTGAGAGAGGTCCAAGTATCTTATTGAAGGAACAAACTACTTGCACCCCCAAGTGAATACCACACAGCAAAATCATCAATTTCTCTAACATCAAGGGCAACAAATGACAAAAGTTACAATGATACTGAAGATGAGGCCACTGCATCTTCAGCACAGTACCCAGTTTGGTTTTTTTTTCTACATGCTAAGAATGGAGAAATTCAGCAGACACTGGTATGTTAACACGAAACATCTGAATTTTTCTGACACATAATGTCAGTGACATGGTCACAGATTCGTACACTGAGACCAGACAAGCAAGAGGTCCTGTTCTCCAAAACTCTACTATAATTTTATGGGAGTTTGATCTAAAAACCTGCTTTTGTTTAGCTACCCATAAGAAACAGTTATTGAACAGTTAATAAAAATTTCACAGGCCGATTATCATAATTCCTTTCTCTAGCCTTTCCAGAAGATCCTTCCAAACTGAACATCTTGTTTGAAAGGCTTTTTTTTTTTTTTTTTTTCTTTATACAGCAGATCACACATATACTAATGAAATAAAAAAGATGGAAAGGGAGGGCAGAGACATTTCTGCATCTGGTTTGCAGAAAATAAGAACAAATAACAAATTCAGAAATTAATGTAAAATACCTACAGTGCTCCATTTATCTTCTCTGCTAAGTCATTATTGGTAAAATAAATTTAAAAATATATTAAGAATATATATACACACAAGTGCTCTATTTCAAAGTCCATAAACAAATATAAAAATACATACCTCTAAACATTTATATATATATATAAACACATACAAGCCCACAGTATACTGTTTGGAGACATTTTTCTTTCACAAATTCTATACAGTAGAGGTCTCTCAAAAAAAGTTGTTAAAATGTTTATTTATTAAAAAAAAGTAAAATAAAAGCTTTTAAATATTTAAGAACACAGATACTGGTAGAAAATATGTGGCAACAAAAGTAGGATGAAAAGCAACACGAAAGAAAGAAAACCAAAACAGCTTTACGATGCCCTCAAAACAGCAGAAGCAGAATTATAGAACCATGTGACAGACATCAGGACAGTGAGGATTTGTTCTAAAGACCAAGCATTTCAAACCACTTATTCCCCTCCCACTCTCCCAGTACACTCACGTTCCTATGCCCACTGCTAGCAGAATCGTGAAGTGGTGTATCATCATCCAAGCCCTGCGTGTTCACGTCAGCTCCTGCTGCTATCAGGACTTTAGCAACATCGTAGTAACCAACGTTACAAGCTTCATGCAGTGGTGTCCAACCTATAGTAAAGAGTGGGAAGTTTGAAAGGTCAAATTTTACTGTTATTAAATTGAACACAGACATCACCAATCAAACAGTAAAAGACAAAATCTGGGACAAAATCCCCAGGCTAAACATGTTAGAAATTCTTTAACTAGTGAGCATTTGAACACACTGTTAGGTGTATATATAAATAACATTATTTTATATGGAAACAGCTTGAAAACTACACTACCCAGTGCTCCTTTAGAGCCACTGACCATGTACAAGGAATCACTAACAACACTCAGTAGCTATTGGTCTAGACAGCAAGCTATTGGTAAGTATTGGCAGAGAACTTACTCCTGATATTGCCTAGACTATTACTAATTCTTAGCAATTTTGATTTCCACATTGATAATATGAAGTTCAGGGCTCATTTTTTGTAGCAGAGCCTCAACTGAAGATGACGATCAACCCACACATGTGATATTCCTCACGTCAACTTCCTCTCCCCAGCTTGATGGCCTTCCACCTCACAGCTGCCCTGAACTTCAAGCCTGCTGTTGATGCCTTCACAAAGCCCAGTTCTGGGAAGGCATTCAACTTTCGTTTCCAACATAACCAGTGCAAGCCTGGAACAGTTTATCCACTTGAACTCTGCGCCTAATCAGTAATGCTCTTGTACAACCACAAAAAGGAGGTACAAGAAACCCCTAACTTACCTAATCCCTCAGGAAAGTAATTTCTCACCATCTCTCGCTCAATTTCTCACCCGCCGCTCATTTAAATAATGGAAAGAAGAAAAAAAAAGAAAAAAGCTTCTACCTTGTTCTACAGGGGAACATTTCTTCCTGATCTTCATATCCTAAATTTCCTCTCCAACCCTCACTTGGGTCACCTACTTCTAACACTGCCTGGCAACCATCTCTTCCTTTCCATTTTACTGTCATTCGCCCTTTTCCCACACACCCACAATGACACTCTGCTCTCAGCCCTCTGATCCCTGTCTTTTTTCCCCTGATTAATTCTCTCCGTAATTCATTCTTCTCCATGTTTTACTGCTTTGCCTTCCTATCCTATCGCAATGTCCAGCTTGCCAACTCTAGTCCTGGCTTGCTCTCAACATCTGTTCCTTGACTCTTGTTCTCACACGGCACTATCATTCTGGCAGATATCCCACGAGCAGGGTTACTTCCTCCATCACTAATTCATTTTCTGCTCCTTTAGTTCTGCCAAATTCTTAGCTAAAAAGCTTTAGTTCTCTAAACTTCAGTGCATCCTAAATTCTTATTTTTCTCCACTCATGACTCACTGCTGAAATCCTCCCCCTCTTCTTGACTTCCTCTGCACAGGATTTTGAAGCTCAGCCACCTCTGCTGCTGACCTTGGACTACCGATGGAAAAGTCTTTCATTGATCCCAAACACCTCCTCCAGAGTTTCGAATGAAGTCTCTAACGACTTCATCCCAACTGATTCTCAGAACCAGCTCTCAGCCATTCTCCTCATCCTTTCACCTGCCTTTAAAATTAGTTAAATATCTGTACAAGGTCAGGCTAGGAAGAAGCTACAAAGTTCATTTCCTTCACAGCAGCCTGTAACAGGGCTGTGCACTGCATGTGAGGCTAAAACAGCGTTCGTAACACACCAGTGTTTTGGCTACTGCTGAACAGTGCTTGTACCCTGTCACGGTTTTCCTTCTCCCTCCCCCTGGGTGAGAAGTTGGGAGGGGAAATAGCCAGGGCAGCTGACCAAAGGTATCTTCCATACCACATAATGTCATGGCCAGACATAAAAGCTCAGGAAAAGGAGAAGGAAGGAGGGATATTTGTAGTTACGGCATTTGTTTTCCCAAGCAACTGTTACACCCGACGAGGCCCTGCTTCCCAGGACGTGGCTGGACATTTGCCTGCCAGTGGGAAGTAGTGAATGAATTCCCTTTTTTCCATTGCCTACATGTGCAGCATTTGGTTTTCTTATTAAGCAGCCTAACTTAAAAAACAAGGGCCTTTTTCCATTTTATTCCCCACCCTGTTGAGGAGGGGAAGTAAGAGAGCAGATGGGAGCCAGCCAAGGTTAACCTACCACGACATCTCTTCTTGGAATGTTTCTATTCTCCCTGTGGTTTTTATGGGTCTGTCTTCCCCTGAACGTCCCCTCCTTTTCTAAACTTGTTCTCGTCAACACGTTCTTCTCATCTCCCCTGTCAACTTCTCTGAAGATCTCACAGGGTTCTACTTCTGCTTCCTTTCTTTTCTTCCTCTACATGCCCAGTCCCAGGCAGCCTCATCACACACATTCAGCTACCCTCTGTAAACCGAAACATTGCGGATCTGTTTCTTACCTAAAAATCAAAATTTTAGTCCATCTCATTACTATCTTCTCTTGATGTCAAGTCTGAGCTGACAGCTAATTGTACCACATAGATTTTAATTTCTCCCACTGAGGCCTGCTACTTCAGCTCATCTCACCCGTTCCCACTGAACGTAATACTCATTATAACCGTTCAGACCCATAAACTGAGCATCTGTAGCAGCCTTTGCTGTAAGCCTCCTTAAAATTCTCATTCAGACCTTCGTTATACTTTTGCTTCCATTATGCAGTGCCTCTAAAAAGTTGAAACTGCCAGTGATGCCACAATTAGACTACTGAGAATTCTCAGCATTATCTTTATTCCCTTGGGATGACAGCAGCTCCCCGCAAATTTTGTCACCTTTCCTTCAGGGTTACCCTTCACACTGGGAGTGTGAAGTCCTTTTGAACAAAACCAAAAGCAACACGGCCATTTCTTGTATTCACTTCCTCACTCTCCCATGATCCACTTCTACTGCAGATGCAAACAAGCCAGTGTTTAGAGCCAACGTTGAGAGGTGGAGTACTAGTAGCAGTTTGTAATGCTGTTTATATAATGTGCACTTGATACTGCTTAAAGAGCTGTCATTGCATTTAAGAGAGAAGCATCTACTGAATCCTATCTTTTTACAGATGTCTCTTAGACCTCAACCCCACAACAACCTCTGCACCTCATCACATCCTTTATCCTCTGCTTTAGCCTTCCTTTCACTCTGTTCCATCTCCCTCTATGCCCTAAATCTTTACTCCCTACTCCAGCTCTTATGTCTTATGCCCTTTTACACTGGTTGAGGAAAAACCAGCGAGTTCTTTGGCTTATCTCAATATGTAAACACATTTAATTTGGTGCCCAGCCTATCAACAACTGGCAACTACTCAACTCGAAACTGCAGGTTGTATCTTCTCTGAAAGCACTAACCTTGGGATCTCATACTTAACTCTGCTGGAGATTTTTTACTAAAACACATAGAAACCTAAATAATGTGCAAGTATCAAAAGCAAAATAGGCAAAAGTTTGCCAGCAAGTTCCAAAAAAATATTTAGGAGGTCTTACAGACAAACAGACTGTAAAGAAAGATACTAAATAAAGGATAATAAAAAATACGGTACAAGTTACAACTTACCTTAAAAACTTAAAAGTTCATCCATCAGCAACTGCAAATCAGCAATCAGCAAATCCTGACATATCAACTCTCATTAACCTAGCAGGACCAGATGACAAGCGCAAGCTATACCACACTAATCTGCTTTGGTGCACAACAGCTGTCCCAGTAAGAAGACAATGTACCTTACACTGCTTTCACCTTCACCGTTCCTAAACAACTTTGCATCTCCTCACGCCTACAATCCCATTATCAGTTACTGACTTTGCCTAGTATAATTCCACAAAGTTCAGCAAGTGTGCACACGTATTTTTGTGAATACCTTGTACGCAAAGGCCCTGGCCACAGCTGAAACCTCCAAGTATAATATACTGTTCCAATAATATACTATGTACTACAGTGTCCCTGTACTACCACTGTCATCAGAACTAAAAAATATGATTTGAGAATTTCTAGTAAGTTTTAAGTTCCATTTTTTCATTTGCATATAGCATGAACTGAACATAAACCTCTGACGACAACTTCAGCGTTCATTTTGAATTTGTAGTTAAGAAAACATGTATCAGCTTACCTGCAAAATCTTTTACGTTCACATTCGCACCTAAACTGATTAGCTCCTTCACCTGTTTAACATCCCCTCGAATTGCTGCCATGTGTAGAGGAGTTTCCCCTCGTTCATTTCTCTTGTTAACTTTGTCTTTTTGTCTTGAAGAAGAGCTTGGAGTTTTCTTTTGTGTCGGTGTTGTTTGTAAGGGATGACTTAGGGAGGAATCTACAAAGTAAGTTTTTAAATGGTCACTGTAAGTTATTTAACCCTATTTTTACTTCACCGCATTTTAACACTTGCACTCAAAGACAGCAGTAATCAGCAGTGAATAATTATATTTACATAAAGAACGTATTTGACACTTCACGTGCATCAACACGATGCCTATCTGCAATGTGCAAAACATTTCAAGGACAGTTGAAGTCCACCCAAACTACAAGGTTCGCATACTCTGGTATGAAATCTGCTGAAACAAGTCAAAGCATGACCGTGCAGATTAGTATCTGCCCTGCTTCCCCTTCCTCCAGCACAATTCCACTATATTTTTATATAGTGGGATGGCAGTTTAAGGAGTTACTGTCTGCGTACTGTACTCCATGCCCCTCCTCAGCCATGCCAACACTAATGTTTTTGAGTGGACTGGATAGTTTCTCAAGGAAATGCAGTCATTCACATTTAAATGCCAATTCTGTAATAACATTACACCTGTAGATCATACACATGCATAAGGATTTTTTTAAATACAACTGGACCAAGGACAGTTTGAAGTTCTGAACTGAAAACAAGGTGTCTTTCCTCTCCCATTAAATCCTAAGGGAAAGATCCAGTTTCCTTCTAAATTAAAATCCTGCTCCAAACTGAGATGAGACAGTAGTTACATTTCAAAAATACCCCTAGATAACAGTTTTTAAATAATGCATGTGGAACAGTGCTTGGGAGGCAAAAATAATCAAAGGAAGAAAACAGATTTTCAGGTTTTACAGCTATCGTACTGCAAAGCCTTGCACCTAAATACAGAAGATCAAGAATTTTGCATCAAATTGCTCATCAGTGCAAACCAGAGTTTTAACAGAATTATGAATAATTTTTACAAATCAATAAAAATCAGGAATTGTTGAAAAACATCAAAGTTAATATTCTGACTGGGACAGAATTAAACAGGCAGGAGGAAGAAAACTATTAACTTTGTAAGATCACCTGGACTGTTGTCTCTTGCTGTCATCTGCATGAGCAGTGCCATCTGTTTGCGCTCCGACAGAGGGTAACCAAAAAGAATGCTAACTGGTGTTGATTTCTTATTTCCAGCATCCTTCTTCATCCTCTTTTTCTCTGGACCTTCCTTCTCTGGAAATATTAACATTTAAGAACTCAAACTGCTGTTCGATTAGAACACTTTTCTAGAAATAAAAAACATCTTTTTAAGGTATGTGAATAGATGATTGGTGGCAGGTGATAAAAAAACCAGGAATTGCATGTCTAATTTACTGCATTTGCATTAGTTTTGGTTACTTGTTCTAATATCAGGGATAATACGCTACTGAGTTAAAGCACTTAAAGCTTTGAGGAGGATTACTAAAAAGAAAGTAAAATCTAAAAGATAAAAACCCTGTTTCACAGCAGGAAAACTTAATTTTAACAACCTTAATTTTCAGAGAATCAAGTCAGACGCTTAAAAAATTCTGTAAGATCAGCTGGTCAACTTCCAGCCTTGCGTACATATCTGAGACTGTGCGCTATTCCACTTCTCTCAAGACATCATGTTAAAAACCTAGGAAAAGACTTTGTAATACTGGTATTTGTTAGGTAATTGGATAAAAGATTGTTTTTCTCAAACTCCTTCTGTTACTTCACCTTAGGGCAATTTCTTCAAAATGTATATCCTTCAAAAACATACAGCTATTTTATACACGTAACTTCTTTCCTCCTATCAGTATTTATGGAAGTTGTTTAGTATTTCATGTCCAGGTTTTAAACCAGGAGCTAAAATTACACATCTGAATAAACAGATCATTTCTAAAGCTATTCAGTACCTAACAACTCTCACTGATCTTCAGGTTGGTTAAATGTGCTCTGAAATCAGACAACTTTTTAATACTTAGTGAATTTCAAAACTAGATTTTATTTGTGTACTTTGGAAACTCTGGTCTATGTCTTCCATCCTTTTCAAAAATTCTTCCTTTTTTGGTAGAAAGAACTCAAAAACCTAATACAGGCATTTAGGTTAAAGTGTGACAGAAACAGTTTTTTTAACTGACTTTATACTGACATAACAGTATGACAGATTTTTAATTGACTGACAAAATCACTTTTAACTGGAGCAATATTTCATGATCTCATCAAATGAGCACAAACACTTGATGTTATCAAATTTCTTTTGGTACAACTATTTTCCACAGATCTCCCTACCTGACCATTATTGTTTAACTGTATTTTCTAGAGGTTTATTTGTTTGCACTTATGCATATTGAAGACCATTAATTTTCTGTACTATCTCATCTTTCCAGGCAACTGTTCTTTTTCTGTCTTAACAAATTCTCATCAAATTCAGCATTTTGGATCTTGTAAGCAGATTATATTTCTTACATCTTAGATCTATGTCTACCTTTTCCTTCAGAGCCCCTAAGATTACTACTTGAATATAAACCCACTGAATGTAAACAATGGCTTAAGGAACCTTAGTCACAAATAAGGTGATTTGGAATTAAAATTTTTGAAACAGTTAAAAAAACCCTCTTGACAGTGGTGGTTAGAAAGAATGCTCTGAAGAATATTCTAACAGACTCAACCAACAGAAACAATATCTCCCAACCCTAAGCAAATAATTCCCTTGGTCTCCTTCCCTAAAAACCCTGGCTCAGTATTGGTTTTTCCATAGATCCTGCTCACTCTACCGCTTCTCCTCCCTTTGGAAGCCTCCCTTCCCAAAGGGCCTTTAACAGCTAGACAGGACTCAGCATTCTACAGGGACAGATAATCCCAGGTCACCCAGGCTGGACTACTGACCACAACGACAGGGACAGAATTCAGTAAGGATGTCTATTATCTGCTTTCTCTTCCCTGTGGCGGGCTGATGCGCTAACTCCCATAAAGCAAGCAAGAACATGAAACGAAGCAGAGATGTAAAAATTACAGCGGGGAACATGTAATAAATGAAAGGGGGCAGAGGGGACGATGATAGACTGATTAACCACATTTGGCCATACCAAAAATGCTAGATTTTGGCTGGGAATTGGTTGAGGCTTGGTTGGGAATTGTAACTATTAGTTAAAAAAGCTTGGTTGCCACGCTGATCTTTTTAGCTCTTTGTGTAGGAAGTTATTCCATCTTATTCTTACTGTGACCAATTACCTTCTGATGAGAGACTGTTCATCCAGTCTAGTTAATCTCAGTATTTTGGGCCCTACTAAAAAAGCTGTGGAAATGCAATTAAACTAAGCCAAAGTAGGGGCAGGGATTTTCTTTTTATTACTGCCCCCATGATTATATTGGTCTCCCCATTTCCCTTTCTAAGTGGGAAACACCTGTATGATAAGAACTTAATTAAAAAAAAAAAAAAATCTGTCATCTGCAAAAGCAGAAAATCTTGAACGGAAGATTCCACTGCAGCAAACTTCACTGACCTCCTCCAGAGAGGCAAAAATTAATAAAAATTACAAATCAGAAGCTTAAGTTCCATCCACATTTCATTAAGCCCCAAACTGATTCATTTTTATATTTCATTTTCTCCATTTTTGCCTCAGTCCCTCTCTGTGGCCCTCCTGGCTTCCTCTCAACTCGTTTTCTGCCTTCCTAGCCTTCTCTAAATCTCATCTTCCAGGCTTGATTACAGACGCAGGCTGTAGTAATGCAATGCTCGAGGCACAGGAAGGCACGCAAATAGTGCACATCTTGAATTCCATAGTGACCAAATAAGAAATACATGATTTTGCAGACTAAAGGGTTATGAGCAAGATTGTTTTAAGAATGGAAAGCTACAGACGTATTGAGAAGCCCCACAAATTTATCCATTATGTTTAAAAAGGAAACGAGATCCCTTTTACAGAAGTAATTGATGGGGTTTTTCTAAACTGCATGCAACTCATACTCCTGAATATTTAAAAATCCATTCAATATCCAAGCCAACACTACTGTCCTACTGGTAGGTGGTCTGCATTAAGAAAATTTAAAAGAAAACCTACAATGAAATTGTACTTTCAGATTTTCACTGTGAACATGCTGTTGTCACTCCACAGATAACGTACAGCATACCTTCATTGACCAATTCAGCATTTCCATCAAACCAACGCATTTCAGTTTATCTGCTATGATCTGCTGTTCTTCTCTTATCTTACTTGCTGCTCACTATGCTTTACTTGATAAACACATTCATTTTCATTCTGAATTATTCCTTACAGTTTTATAGCTATATTCAGCTTGAGAAAATAATACATCAAAATAAGTGAAAATCTTCTTATGATCTAGCTTTCACTTTTTTACTAAACAGTAAAACTTGCTCTACATTTAGTTGTACCGTATTGAAAAATTACTACGGTAAAACTTATTTTTCCAAGTATTATCTGATGGGTTTTAGCGTGTGTAGTTGTTGGTTGGTTGGTTGGTTTTTCAATCATTTTGTTAGAAAAGCCTACTAAGTAAGTGAGTGCAATTTATTCCTGTCTCATGTTTAGAGTTGTCCAATAACATGAAGATCCTCCCTGACATATTCCAAAGCACATCAGTGGTGGGGCAAATTATTCTTCTGCTACTCTGTATTAACACAGTGTTTGCAAAGCATTTCTAGAGCTTACCAATTGCAAGTACCAAATAAGAATACAATTGGTCTCACCACGTTATGCTGCAATCATGCCCTTACCACTCAAAAAAAGACCATTTTTTAAAAATTTATGTGAGCCTTCATATGTGTTTTCAGTAAATCTCAATACACAAAATTAATGTGATCAATAACAAAGCTAAAAAAAAACAGTCTCAGGACTACAGCAGTTGCACCTGATAATCCATTTGCTGCAGTGTGCCCTGTGAGAGGCTATTGCTTTCCCCCTCCAGGATCTCCTGCATATGCCTTGCTTCTGAATGTACAAGATAAAACAACATAGGACATAAGGGAGGCAGCAAGGCATATAAAATTCTTATATGCACACAAGAAAATTTATATAGACTCACAAAAATGTAGATAGTCAAAACCTAACTTGTTTAGTTTATTTTTTAAATCCAAGAAAAACAACAATGCAACTGTTGATAAAGAAGCAACACAACTCCACAGAAAAATTCTTATGAATTGCTGGGAACCTCCATTATGCTTATTGCAGAAGATATAACAAGACTGGTTTTCGCTGCTCCAAGAATATCATCGTGTTGTACACCACACTTGATGTGGCAGAAGACAAACTTCATGTTCAGGAACATTTACTTTCTAGATATTCAGAACACTTTTCACAGTATAAACATCACAGTACCTGATGCTTATACAATTGGAACAATACTAACTTCCCTAACATAGGAATCATACCCGTTTAAGAAATTAAGTTCAGGCGGAATTTCATGTATAAAATTGACTGTTAAAGTAAATGAGGTTTGGTGGAGGTGTTTTTTTGGGTTTTGTTTTTCTAAGATTTGGAGCATTTTGATTTTGAAGCTTGTAGAATACAAGTATCTTCTTTTACATTCACTTTCTTGTCAGGTTTTGGTGTTCTTCAGCAATTACAACAGATGATCGGGGAATTTCTTACTTGTTATATATTAAAAAAAAAATCAAAACTCTTCAGGTGTCTTCCTGTTCAATTATCTTTATTAAATAACCTTCATAATATGCAGCCATATCTACCTAACAACATTCCTTTTAAGATTTTCCTTATACAATGTAAGTTCTTCACCTAGCACATTAAAAAAAGGATTTTAAAATAGCCAAGTTCTGCAAAACAGTGATATAGGTGCATCTGAGCACTTACTTGTAGAAGTTCATTAAATTCACCCATAGTACTTAAATGTACTGGCACGAGAAAGAGCAGAATAGCTGGCAATTACTTTAGGAGAATTTACGCATGACAGATTATGTCCCAAAGCAACCAATAACGTATCCGGGTTTGGTTTTCTTCAGTCTGGATAAATTGCAAATTCCCAGTCAATTAGTTTCCAAATTCTTAGGCAAGTAAGTTATTTAATAACATAGCATGTGGATTTCTCCAAACAAATGAGAATATTCCATCTGGTAAAATAACCACCTTAGTGGATAAATGAGATAAAGTAAAAATACCAAATTCAAACTTCAGGGTTCATGGTAGTCTCGTTTCATGTAAAACTCCTACCATAGTGCAAATTGTAAGGAATAATAGCATTAAAGAGCATGTGAAGCTAAAATATGAACTGCTTGAAATAAATGCTTCTAAGGAAGTCGCAAGATTGAATGATATACAAGAAAAGACTAATATGCTTGTTACTAACAACTCTAAAAGACAAGCCAAGATGATAAATTCTGCAGATCACGAAGTTGAGAGAGACAGAGTCGCCGAGATCTGGGTGATTGTGGTAATCTGACTGAGGTTATTTTAAAGAGAAACACATCATGATTGACTGCTGCTTCCTCTCCTCAGTGAAAGAGAAAGATTAGAACGTGATGAAGAGTATACTATATGCTCACAGTATACTATATGCTGTTGAGATATCAAGGTACTATTGTGATACCTAATTATTAAAATTTTTGGCGTATTTATTTAACCAAGCCAACACACATACCCACACAAAACCACCTCCACTTTCCTACCTTTATCCCAAACAACTGTTCAAGAAATACTCCAAATCCAGCAAGCAGTAACATAGCGTGTAACAGTCCCTTTAAACAGCCCTACTAACCTCTTTAACTATGGAAAGCACACGTATGGAAATTGTGTTACTATGATGTACACTTAGAATATGAAGAGGTCAGTTGTTTTGCTTCTCTGGATGCCAGCTAGATGCTAAAGAAAATATGGCTGGGCCATGTTTGGACTACTTAAAAGACTGAAATTGAAGGGGTCAGAAAACAAAGCTGAGATGTTGTTATAGCAGAAAAACCTGGAAAACAATTTCCAAGGAAAGATGAACAAATCAACACATTCAGGGCAATTTTAACTCTCGTTGTTATTCCTGAATAATCAACTATGTAACAAGACTACAAAACCAAAAAAGTCTATGTTTATCTTCACAATGAAAAGATTTTTCCTATCTGCAGTTATGTTTAAAAAATTCAAATTTCTCTCTTCAGACTATTAAGGTGGAGAAAGCAAACTTGTCCTTTGCAAAAGCAGCATGTGCCTGTTATTATTCTGATAACCTCATCAGAGGTTATTTAAAAATAGCTAGATTAATTAAATAAATCAACAAAATCTAAATAATGCTATGTAAGTAGTCAGAATAAGTGATGGTTTTTAAAACATATCATGCTTTTTGGATTGAGAAACTTTAGAGAACTTATTAAAGAGGGTGCAAGTAGAAGCATTCTTCAACTCTATGATAACCTCATCAGAGGTTATTTAAAAATAGCTAGATTAATTAAATAAATCAACAAAATCTAAATAATGCTATGTAAGTAGTCAGAGTAAGTGATGGTTTTTAAAACATATCATGCTTTTTGGATTGAGAAACTTTAGAGAACTTATTAAAGAAGAATGCTTCTATTTGCACCATCAACTCTACCAGTTTTAATCAAAGCTTGCGTGTAGAAACCTCCACATGATTAACTTCAACAAGGGTTAAAGCTATACTACAAAAGTTGCAGTATAAATGAATTTGACTGCAGTATGTATGTATATATATTAGCTTTTGTGGCTGCTCTGATCAAAGAATGGGGATGTGGTAACAGCACACAGCAGGACAGCCGCCCAAACCAGGAGAGGGTAACAGACACAGCCCTGCACAGCAAAACAAACTGACAATAGGCCGCTGTTGCTTCTCAGGTGCTGTTCTTGTCCCGCTGGCCTCTTCACAGGAGACCTGTGGCCTTCTGACCTTACCTTTCAGCCCTAGGCAGACTACTCAGCTACTGCAGGTGTCTCAACTGGCACTTAGGCAAGTGGACTTGAAACTAACAGGTATGAAATTATGAAGAAAGGCTAAATCTGAAAATATTTAATACTAATTAAATAGTTGGTTGTCAAGAATTAGAACAGGATGTCCAGGGAAGTGGTTGAGTCAGCATCCCTGAAGGTATTTAGAAGACAGGTAGATGTTCTAGTACTCACCCAGTCCGTGAAGGGGCCTACAAGGAAACTGGGAGGGGACTTTTTACAAGGGCCTGTAGTGACAGGACAAAGGGTAATGGGTTTAAACTGAAAAAGGGTAGATTTGGTGAGGTATCAGGAAAAAATTCTTCCCGGAGAGGGTGGTGAAGCACAGGAACAGGTTGCCCAGAGAAGCTGTGGATGCCCCATCCCTGGAAGTGTTCAAGGCCAGGCTGGATGAGGCTTTGAGCAACCTGGTCTAGTGGAAGGTGTCCCTGCCCATGGCTGGGGGGGCTAAGTAGAGCATCCTAGTAATGTTCCTGCCTCTAAAGTTTCTGAAAAGCTTAGGTACCAAGTTCCTTGTTTGTGAAAGAGGGAAGTTGCTTTTACGTACTTACTTCAGAAGCAATGAAATAGACAACAAGCTATGATATTTGCTACAAGGTAGTTAAAAGCTACGTGCCTTCTATTGTTATATTAATCACAGAATGGTTTGGG